TGAAGCATCGCTTGCGAACTGTATGGAATCGATTCCAGTGCTTACTGCGTCTGCACTATATTCAATAGCTAGGTTCCGGGTAGTATATAGGTAACTGATGACCCGGTCAGCTGCTTGGTGGTGCTGGGGCCCTGGATTCGTCAAGAACTGAGCTAGTCGAGCGGTGGCCTTTGCAGCATCTGGCCTAGTGATAGTGGTGGCATAGCCTGCGGATCCAACCTTCTTTTGATAGAGAAGGATCTCCTTCGGGGTGGCTACGCCTTGGTAAGGCGTCAATTCGTCAACTGGTAGTGGCGTATAGACAGGTGGTCGATCTGTCAAATTGTAGCGGGTAGCAATGCTTGTCATATAGCTATCTTGACATAGCCAGAGCTTCTTCTGCTTCCTATCGCGAATGATTCGGATATTGAGAAACCATGATGCTTCTCCATGATCTGTCAGCTCCCAGTGGGCTTCTAGATCTCGCTCCAATTGCATGGCTCTTGCCTTAGCATTTGCATGGCTAGCAATTAAGATATCATCCACATAGAAGAAGACTATTAGCCCTTCTCCGACGAAGACACAAGGGTCTTCTGGTGCTTGTTGCAGACCTAGTTTTCGGAGTACACTAGCTGCTTCTTGTTGCCAAAGACGTGGCGAGATCCGTAAGCCGTACAATGCTCGACGAAGCTTCCAGCATTTACCTAGGGACTGGAACCCTTCTGGCATCTGCGTATACGTCGGTTTCTCTTGGCTTAGCTTGCTATTCAGAAATGCAGTGACAGCATCTCGCTGACGGAGGTCTAGGTCAAAGGCAGCGACTAGTGCAAAGATCATTCTTGCTGTTCTTGCTGCTAGCGTAGCAGCTCTCTTTTCTTCATAGGTAATCGTCTCAAGATCCCCACGAACACAGATTCGAGCCTTCAATTTCAAAAGGTAACCGTCCTGGTCGAATTTGTATGCAAAAACCCATAGTAAGGGAAGGATTTGTATCCCTCGATCCTTTGGCTTTTCAATGACTTCGAATGTCTCTTTTTCAGATAGAGAGTGGATCTCTTTCTTCATTGCTGCGAGAAAACCTTGCTGAAAAGGATGATTTATGACATCCTTCCAGTACTTGGGTGGTGGTGGGAGATCATCTCGATGGCGGCGAGCGTTTGGTTTCTCGGCGTATAGACCAGCTGCAAATGCATGTAGTAGAGCCGGTGGCTCTTCTTCGTCAATACCCTGTACTATAGTGGTTGCATATGCAAAATCGTCATCTTGTTTTGCTTTGCGTATTCGACGTCCACTTAGTATGTTGCTGGCATCTATATTGCTGGAGATCTCTCTGCTTGGTGCTAGCAGTTCTGCCTGGAGCTGTCTTTCTAGCTCATTTTCCACCTCTCTATTGGGTTCTTCATTAGGTTCTCCATTGGCTTCTTCATTGGCTTCTTCATAGGCTTCTTCATGGGCCTGATCTTCACTGAGCAGTTGATCATCTAGATCATGCGTATCCACCCCCTGATCAGGGCCAGTTTCCACCCCTTGCTGTAAGCCAGTTTCTTCATTTGGTGGGGTTAATGGTGATGGATCTTGATCCTTCTGTATGTCCTGGATCTCACCGGCTTCTTTTCTGACCGAGGTCAGAAGTATAGGTGGTAGGCTTATTGGGGTAGGCATTAATGCCTGCCTGCTCACCCCCTGAAGTGGGGTGATCTCTCGGTAGTCAACCTCACTTAGCTGAATATCTTGTGAAGTATCTGGTAGAGTATCTGGTAGAGCATCTGGAAGAGCATCTAGAAGAGCATCTGGTAGAGCATCTGGAAGAGCATCTGGTAGAGCATCGTCGGTTTCATCTTGTCGGTTTTGATGCTCACTTTCCGGCGTACTAGTTGCTTCCTGGCTAGCGATCTGATGGTTGATGATTTGCGCCACTTCGTCGGGCGTAATCTCTTCTGGCTCTCTCACTAATGGTAGTGGAATAGGCTGAGATTTCTCATAGTCCGGCGAGTATTTACGTGCTTCATCAATGACTGCATCTCGTATATACCTCACTTTCCCACTGTGTGGAAACCAGATTTTGTAGATATTAGATGCCAAGTATCCGACTAGGAAGCCGACCTCTGCTCTTGGATTCATCTTATCTGACTGGATCTGCCTCTCAATGCGGCAGTACGCCAAACTTCCATATAATCTAACATTTGCTAGATTGATCTTCGGGGCTGTTGGAGCAAATTCTCTTCTTACTTCTTCCCATGGTATTAACCACTTGTTCTCAGAAGCAATGTATGTAGGGGTACGGTTCAATAACCACACTGCAGCGCTTGCGAATTCAGGCCATAGGTCTTTCGGAAGCTTGCCTTCAAGAGAGAGCATACGCATACGGGTAATGATCATCCCGCCAGATCTCTCGGCATACCCATTCATCTCTGAGTGGCCGGGTGGAGTATGATATATCAAGATACCATCGCTTGTCAAACTGTGCTCCGCTGTTTTGCCTGCTGCAGCTTCATTGTCATAGTGAAATGCCTTGATAGGTAGATTCCACTGATTCCTTGCTAGCTGTACGAACTGGTTGATCGCCAGCTGGCATTCAGGCTTCACTTCATGTGTCATTATCCAATGGAATCGTACTCCTTCCATATAGAAATGAGATATCCATCGGTGTCTATTGTATGCTAGCGGCAGTTGTATGAGATCAAAGTGGATCCTTCCAAATCGTCCAAAAGTACGTCCTACTGGCCGGCGAGAGATCTGTTTTGGTGCTCTCCCAATATGACAGGTTTGGCATAATGAAGCTTCTTCTTGCTCTGCTTCCTGGAGGACTATACCATCTACCATAGTAGCAAGCTTAGCTACGGCGCGGGGCTCAATGTGAGCAAGTCGCCGATGCCAGATGTCAGCCGATGCCTTTGATTCCTGCGGCTTTACTGAGGATCTCTGTGTGGCATATGCTTGTTGCGGTAGAACCTCTCCTGGTTCATCGAAAATCCAGAGGTTAAACTGGTCCCATAGATGTACATTGACAACAGGTAGATCCTTTGGATCTCGGATGCAGTTTGTACGTTGACACCAGGTGCCCCCCTTCTTCTTTAGCATCGCGTACGACACTAGATTTGTATGGAAGCTAGGCGAGTAGAGAGCATCACTCAATGTGATTTCCATTCTCCCTTTCTGTGGATGCTTGCCGACTAGTCGAACTTTGCCTCTCCCTAGCACCTGCGTAGTACTGTCACCAGTTGTCAAATCTATGACTTCCGGCGTAAAATCAATAAACAGTGCTCTGTTATTGCATACATGTGAACTGGACCCAGTGTCAAGAATCCATCGATTGCGGAGAGAGAGCTCGCCAGTCTTTGCAGCTGAGAGTGCATGCTTGCCAATCTGTATAGCTTCACTTAGTAGCTTGCCTTGGTGCTTGCCCTGGGGCTTGCCCTGAGGCTTGCTCTGAGGCCTGCTCTGAGGCCTGCCCTGTTGCTTACTCTGGTAGGTGGTGGCGAAGCTAACGTGGTTTGCAGATTCATGATGCTTTGATTTAGCTTCATTGACAGCTTTGTCGACCCATTGCTTCCACCCTGGATCATTTGCTAGCTTCTTTCTAGCTCTCTCTAGCTTCCCTTCGTCTAGGGTATATCCTTCTGGGCGTATAGCTTCATTCATGAGCCAGCAGTTGGCCACCTTGTGGTGTGGATGACCATTGCCACATGGACATTTTCTCTTCTCGAATGGAAGCTTCTCTTGCTTCGCTTCCGGCTTTGCTTCTCGATGACCTTGCCAGGTTGAAAAAGCACTTTTTGGAGCATTAGTTGAGGTCACAGTTTTGACGCCTATCTCCCGATTCATTGCACGGAATGATTCAAGAAGATCTCGAGTGTCATATTTCTTCTTATCCATAACAATCTCTTGGTATTTTCCTTGCCACCAGATTGGCAGTACCTCTTTAACTGCATGTAGGAAGTCTCGATTGGAATCTGCATCGCTAATGCCGAGGCTAATAGCTTGCTCTCTTAGTGAATTCCACTTTTGAAGCCACTGCTCAATATCACCGGTTGGTTTCTGCATGGCAAAGACCTTCCAATTCATACGGATTTCTTCTTCGTACGCCGTTGACCGAGCAAATCTAGTCTTTAGGTATACAAGCCTCTCATACGGAGTACGATATGTGATCAGAGCAAGGTGATGCATTGGGTCGAGGTAGGTAAGGATGTACTCGTTGACATCACTTAGTCCTTTTGCTTGCTTCTCCCACTTCGTGTACTTCATTTTATACACGTCCATTCGATCTCGCCAAATCCTTCGATCCTTGTCATCGCCGTCCTCTGGGTATTCCGGTTCCACCGGTTCTTGGAGAGGTATAGATCTTATTGCTTGGGATTCGGTTGTCGTCGGGGGATCTGGGTTGCAAAGGTCCCATACGTTCTTTTGCATGGCATATAGCTGCACTTTTGCAAACCAAGTGAGCCACTGCGGCGAGTCCTTCAGTTTTTCGCCCTTCATGGCGGAGAGAATTGATGCTGCCTCCATTGCTGGATTCAGGGGTAGCTGGGAATAGCTTCACAATTGCTAATTCAGGGGTAGCTAGGAGGTTTCAAGGGGTAGAAAGCAGGCTTCTAGTAGTGTACTAGATACTATATCTCAAATAGTAATGCTTTCTTCGATGCGAACCGGGCTCATAACTGTCGGATTGGTCTGTATTGTAAATGTAGGGGTCCAATCAGTGGTATTCAACTCTCTGTATTTCTGTATCGGCTCTTGGTACAATTTATATGGAGCCATGATTACATAACATTAATTACAAAAATGTGTAGGATTAATAAATCCCCCGGTATGCCGGTCGTCATGCTCCGACAAGGCTTGTCAGCCTCAGGCACCAGTTTCCACAAACGGCTTTTATGTATCACGTGATCGACCCCGCGAAACAAGAGGCTGAGTCATCCGATCATCGCGGGCGGGATGCCTGACGTGACGTTACCTACAGATTAGAGCTTGTGCAAGCCTACGGATTCTTCATCCCCCCTACACAGCTATCTTGCTTGAAGATGCCACCGGATCTGAATTCCCTTCCTCTGTCCCGCTCGTCTTCAACCTCCTCCTCGATTCCGCAACGTAATATGCCCGCTCCTGGAACCGGTCCGGCCCCCGTGAACCCGAACACCGCTTCACCAAGGCCTTCCCGTGGCTCAAGCATAGGTCGACTATCGGTATCCGAGCGACGTCGGTCCGCTGCTGGCATGAACCTAAACCTGAACGATATGCAGGGCACTAGTCCAGGAACTAGCAGCGAGCTACCTGTATCAGACCACCGCGATCATCGCAGCTCGATCGGACATGCATTCCGCACAGCCAGCCCATCCAGCCATGGCGGAAGCCCCATCTTCGCAACCGCTGATCCGCACCATCAGCGCGCACCATCGTTAGGAGAGCTACACCAAGAGCTGGAGCAAGAACAGGAAGCACAAGTGGTGGGCTGATCTTCTATATCGCCGGACGCCAAATTGTAGTAAGCTAACCAGGGAACCATGATGGAATGTAGAACCGTCTTCTTCAGATGATCCGCAGCCAGCAAGCCCAATTGCATCAATACCAACAGCAACAGAATCCGCAATCAACCGCTGCCATCGACGACACAACCCCGGCATCGGAACGGTCGGCTTTCTTCCCCCCGGCCCGGCAGCACCTCCAGCTGGGAACAGATTATCGATCTCTTCTTCATTCTCAAACCGCCGAAACTCGCGACCTTCAAGTCAAGCGACGTCACCGAACCTGCGGCCGCTAGACTCACGTGGACCGGAGGGCGTGGAGCCATTCCCGGGGTTGCGGGATAGTCTCTCTCGGCGCGGGAGCCGGGACGAGAGTGCCTTTTACCAGGCCGAAGCGAGCTCACTAGCCCGAGAAAACGTGCTCCTTCGGCAACGGATCCGGGAACTAGGTAAGAAAATCCCGGGTTAGCGTTTTTAGCCTAATTCTACAGAGTAACCCCACTCCGAGATGTGGATCTCGATTTAAGCGCATATACTAATTTTCCCCTCCACAGAGAGACAAATCGGTGGCTTAACGACTTCCCAGAGTGCGTCGTCTGCAACAACTACATCGGGTATTGCGTCCGGGCAAGCGGGGACCGAAACCGCGGACCCGCCTGCCGTGGGTTCAGCGCCAGACGGCAAAGACTGAAAAAGTGCATTTCGCCCGAGCTTTTGGCCCAACCACCCCCCACACGATATGATTGATACAGGTGATACCCCGGACGTCAGCCAATACTATGTTCAATACTCTATGCAATTCTATGCAATACGATGACAGAGAATAACAACCGAAAACCCCTCAACTCCCCAGACAATGGACATTGCGCGATTTTGCAATCTTGGCGTCTGGGTTTTCGCGAAGGATCAGTCTTTCGGGTTCTGACCGATATCCCTTTTTTTCTAGGACGGAAGGTGTTTTTTTTCCATTTCTTTTGTGGGAATGTGCAAATTTGACTTTATGCGCTCTTTGTCAAAGCTGCAATGTGATCTGTACGCATGCAGGATGTAATGGCCTGTTGCTGTTACTAGTAAAACTTCCCATTGGAAGTGTCGAGGGCTCAATATGAGAAACTCGAAATTAATGTAGAAATTCATGACGATGCATGTTGACTTCATCCTCTTTATCGGTAACTAAACACTCAAGATACATATAGACTACACTGTCTTCCCAGTTAGGTTTAGCCATATCAACGAGCTACTCTCTCTTTCTCTCTGGATCTAGATGGCATTTCTCATGTTCTACCCAAGTCTAAATCTCCCGACAACCGATGCCAAAGTCTCACAAGTCCCCGAAAGACCGCAGACATGACCAGGCCAAAAGACTCGACAGGGACAAAGGCAGGAATCAACTCATTCCCACACAGCCCAACAATGTCCCCATGATCAATCAAAGGCCCCAGTATACCCTCAATCCTCCCCCGAAGAGCCTCAACAGAGAAATCCCCCTACCAGAGCCCGCAGCTCATACAAGTACCGAAACAAAAAAAAAAATCATATCAGCAACAACCTGCAAATGAAAAAAGATACTCAAGCTGAACCGTTCCAAAGTAGTACCCATGTGATTAATATTCCTCCGAACAACCTTCAACGTCCAACTCCTATGAGAATACGATCCAACAACCGAATCCCCGGACCAGCAGAGACAAGACCAAGTCCGTACCAAAACACCGAAACGAAGTGATCGAAATCCAACTGGACCTTCCGTCCAAGTAACAGATCATACCGTATATCGATCGAGAAATAATTCACCATCCTACAACGAACGACGACCACCACGTTCCACGCTCGCCGTCCTTCCTCCTCTCATTCCTCCCCCTCCCATTCCGAGCATCCTGCTCCTCCGTCTGCGTAATACCCACAACTTCGAGACCACGTTCATGCTCAAAGTCATAAAGAAGAATTCCATAAGCGCCCTCGGTACCAGCAACACCACAATGCGACCCTAGGAGTCAAGGAGCCGCGCGAAGGTGGATATACCATCGATGTACATTAGAGAAGATGGGGGGTTTGTGATATGGTGTAGGTGTAGGTGTGGAGGTATCTCACTGACACCGAGACTGATGTATTTGCATCTGTATCTTTGTCTATGGGTATCTCTGTATTTGTATAGACATGGGCATGTGCGGTAGTAGGTCGGGAGAGAGCCTAGGGGTATTTCTCTGTGTATCACATTGCTCAAGTGATATATATATATATATGGAGGAGAGTAGACTGAGTTGAGATTGAGGTGGGCATGGGAGTGGTTCTGATCTCTAGTAGTAGACATGACTGGATTAAAAGTGTCACTCCGTGATCGTATCACCGAAATGGGCTTGTTTTTTTAGGTTAAAACGAGTGAATAAAGAGATGATTGTAGTGAGTGAAGAGGAATTTGGGTGTAATCGTAGCCACGGCCTCAATTCTTCGATGTGGGTGGACTTATTATGTTTCAAGTTTTGGTGACTTAGGGCTATAGAATTGAAGTTTGAATATCTACATTAAGAGGATGTAGGAACTATGAATAGACACATTCGTCGATCCAATTCATTCTATTCAAAGAACAAAAACGTAAAGCTAGAGGCGAATCACATTGTGTACAATAAGGGTAGATCAAGACATCCCAAGTTGAAAAAAACAAAGATATATTCATCTATCAGGCGCTGAAGGAAGGAAACAAAAATCCCAAAGCACCAAAAGTAACAAAAACCGGGTATATGCAAGACACATCTACAGCTTCGGCTTCTCGGCCTGGGCAATCAGGTCGGGCATGAGGAGGTCACGAAGCTCAGTGGCAGCCTCATTGAGGTAGTGACTCATGCGCTCAGCGCCAAGACGCTTGCAGACAATGTTGAAGTTGAGGCTGAAAAGAATTAGTTAGCGATGTGCATAAATGGAAAAAAGTGGGGGATAGGGGATGCTTGATGCTTACCTGTTCTCGTTGATCATGTAGGCAATTCCGAAACCATCATCAATAACTTGGCTCCACCCGTATCCGTTGAAGAACTCGGAGCTCAGCTGGGAGGTGGAGAGGTACCAAGAGGAAGAGTAGGCGTAGGCGGGATCCTGGTAGAGCTCGGGCAGCTTCTCGCCGGGCTGGAGAAGCTTCTTCAGACCGAACAGGTGACGGTCGACACCGTGACCGGAGCTAGCCTCCTGAGTGTATTTAGTGTGCTGGGCGAGGGCAGCGCGGAAGAGCTTGACGGTCTCCTCGCGGGGGGTGGTGTGGTCCTCGTGAGCCTTGCAGAAGGCGACGCTCTCGTCAGAGACGGAGCGAGTTGTCTCTGTGCGGCCTTCGGCGTACTTGCGGGTAGAGGCAGACTCGTAGGTGGGACGGTTCTTGCCGTACATCTTGAAGTAGGCCAGTTGGATGGTCATCTGGACGAAGGCATCGGGGCTGCACTTGAACTTCTTGATCAGACCCTTGCCGTATCCCTGGTAGGCCTGGACGACCAGCTCGTGAGAACCGATCTGCTTGCGGTGGTACACAGCTGCGGCATCAATGGCTTCATTGGCGGCGTCGTTAAGCTTGAAGTTGATAGGCTTAGGGTCGGCGAGCTGGGAGCGCACGGTCTGGGCGGAGAGGTCGATCTTCTTGTTGAAGATGACGTTGTTGATATAGTCGTTCAGGCGGTGGGTGGGAGTGCCATCCATCATGCTGTGCTCGCCGGTGAAACCAGCGGTACCATTGTCGTTAATAATGAACTGCAGAGGCTTGTCGAACCAACGGTTAGAGCCATCACCGTGCCAGTATTGCGAGCAGCGCTCAGCCAGAGTGACAGGGCGGGCATCGTCCAAGCAGATCACGAAACCAGCGGACTCAATATCCTGCAAGGCCAGCTCATTGGCAGGGTCAAGAGAAACGAGGGTCTTGCGAGCAGCAGTCCAGTGATCACGGTCGGCGACAGTCAGTACACCAACGGGTGGCGCAGGCTGTGCGACCTCATAGATGCGCTCGAACTGCTTCTCCAACTCGGAGACATTGAGCTGTTGACCGTCCACGACGAGCGGGACCTTAAAGAACTGGTTCTTGCGGACCACAACGATGTGTTGGTTCTCAGCAGCGGAATACTTGCGAGGGAAATCCGAACCCTCGGCGGGAATACGGCAGCAGTTGAACATGTACTGGTACGAGCTCATGGCCTGAGGCTCCTTGCGGAGGTACTCGGGCTCCAAAGAGCCATCATCAACCTTAGCCTTGAAGTCGAGCGCAGCAGTGGTAATGGCAGCAGCGCGCTTGGCGGGGTTGCGACGCTCGCGGTCATCCCGGTAGGAGTAGAAGTAGGAGACGTAAGGGATGACGGGGTCGCGGTAGGTGAGGTAGGCGGCCTGGTTCCACCACTCGGCGAGCCAGTTCTTGATCTTAGGGTCGGCGGCGCGAGCCAAGAGACGCTTCTGTAGAGACTCACCCTGACCACCGGGGCGGACGAACTCCTCTACGGCCTTCTTGGTGCGCTCATACTCGGACTCGGAGACAACGGCGTGGACGGACTTGAGGTACCGACGGCTGGTCTCTTCTAGGGAGGGAACGGGGAGTTTGGGGAGAGAGTCTTCAAAACGAAGCATTTTGCCCTTGGAGAGGTCCTCCGTGTATCCTATTCTTCTGTTAGTGAGTCTGATTCTTATTTAGGTGTATATGGGCTAAGGGATAGCCCGCATTGCGCCGGACGCATGTGTTACTCACCCTCAGGGACGGAAGATACTGTTCGTCGGGGGGCCATTGTGAGAGTCTATACGCGAGTCAATGGATTGATTCCAGGAGATTTCACAGCATTCCACCACTGTCATTACAAGAGAGGACTTACTGAGCGGGTGAGGAGAGAGTTTGAAGGAAGGCGTTGCCTTGACAGGGTAGAAAGACGGCTTCGGGCAGAAGCAGTGAACATCCCTCTGGTTATATGAAGAAAAAAAAATCGTTGGGGTATAAAGAGAAGTGAACGTGAAGGTGAAGCTTAAAGGGAAAATAAGAAGAGTTGGCCGAATGACGCTCGACACAGAAAGCCTCGGCTGGCGGGGAAGCCGGTAAAACGCGGTACCGGGGTACCACTGGAAGGTCTGTATCTCAGTCCCGTCCGAGTTGTTTTTTCAATTTTTTTTCCCCCACGGGAAAAGAGTGAAAAGGTAAGGAGATGAGAAGATCCAAGGTCTAATGGGCAATTGTTTTCTTACTGTTTTTTTTACGTTTTTTCCTTTGTCTTATTGTGTTGACTGGCGTTGGTTTGTGTTCGCTATATATCGCAACTCGGCTTATAAGCCACTATGTACATATATATAATACGGAAATACCAATACAATGCTCCACCGACGAGCCTCGGTCCATTTCCTCGCTGATCTTCGCAGTCACAAGGAAGAAAGGAAGAGAGGTGGATATCACCTGAGAATAGGAGAATAGTACAACATAGAATGTCATTATTTTCATCTGAAAAAGGAGTCTGACTGTATAAAGCACAAACATAGACACCTACGAAATATTTAAAATACACAAAACCCCAAACTTCAATACTCCGGTTCTCCGGGCGATCACAATGCGGGGAGAGCTTCTAGCGGAAGCATACGGAGTACACATACAATAGACGGGATCATGGACAGTCTCAATGTACATAAGTTACACAGTTACAGCGTAAGAAGGGAATAAAGATAACAAAGCGCTAGATTATGTATAGATGGGAAAAATAAATCGAAATCTCCCTTTCATCCGATCCCGTTGACCCGGCCAATAAAACAACGCAAATTTCAACAAAAAAGAAAGTGACAAGAAAAAAAAGCCACCTTGGGAATATCCCAAAGTACGCCAAACACGGGGAAAAGGAAATAAAAACAAGGCAAAATAAAAAAATCAAAAAATCATAGGCACCTTCCAAGGTAGATCAAGCCCAGATAGGCCATCAGGAGACTGGCTGCACAGCTGCCGGTTGATCCTGGTCATCGATAGGTCGAGGTACCTGCACCCCACTGCGACGTAGTTCATCCATTTTAGCCATGACAGGCCCCGTGCAGATGCGACCGGTCTGCATAAGCGTACGGAGACGTTTCCGACGAGCCTCGCCGCTGCGCTCTTCACCACGAGCAACGCCCTCGTCCACCCAGTCCACGGCATGGACCTTGAAGCTCATGCCATCGTGTTGACCGGCCCACTTGCGGGACTTCAGGCCGAACATGAGAGTGCTGTCATACTGCGCCACGCGGGGAAGAACGAGCAGGGTGATATGCAAGTCCTTGTCGGTGGGGGGGATCGGTGGTAGGCGGGGGCCCTTAGTCGGAGTGTCGCCATTAGTGGCTTCGGGTGGCGGTGCATGTTGATAGGTATCTTTAATCTCGAGATCGAGCATTGACTCGTCCACGTCGTCACCCCACGCACCGCGAATGAAGCCGGAGTGGATGGCAGCGGCAACGGGGTCGGAGTCGTCTGTATAAACACCAGTGCCCCAGAGGGCGCGCCGGGCGCAAATTTCCTCTCGGTGAGATTGGTTGATTCGGAAACGGGGCACTCGGACGGTAAATGTGCAATTCTCCCGCTGTTCGAAGCGGGGTAGGGGCTGTGGGGTGGTTGTATATCCAAACTTAGCGCTGTCCAAAGAGGCCTTGGCTGTTGGGGGACTAATGCGAGGTGTGTAGAGTGTTGAGCCAAGGTGGTGCCGAGGAAGATGGGCCACACTCGAAAGCAACGGCTCCAGGTTCACGGTAGTGCGAGGCTCGCGGATAGGAGATGCAGCCGGAATGGCGGCTGGTCGAGGAGCATGGTGATGATGGTGATGGTGATGTTGGTGGTGATGGTGTGTGGCAGGAGGCTCCGCCGGGGATGTTCGATGGAAGAAGGTGGGACGTTGAAGGGAGCTCAGGGTAGCCGCCTCTTCGTCTGCCTTGTGGCGATGGTGGTGGTGGCTAGAGGAATGTTAGCATGTGGATGATAATCAAGGGTATTCTGAATGGGTAGACCGTACTGATGGTGATGATGGTGGGCATGCCGAGAGCGACGGGCGTTACGGGCTGATAATAAGCCTCGGGCATCATTGG